ATGCCTGGCAATAATACCTTCCATACAAGAGGTAAAAAAAGAGCTATGTAAGCTTAAAGGATGGAGGAATCATGTAGTTTCTGATCATAAGATTGAAAGTGTTTGTGAAATACAGAAAGGTTTAAGAAGGAAATACATTTTGAATGGGCCTTGAAGAACAGATACATAATACACAATATTTCAGAATACGAAATTGGGGAAGAAAAAGTTTCAAGAAAGAAGAACAATGTCAGGAGATGCTATAGCCCATTTTGAGCAAATTGTCCAATTTGACTGGCTAATGGAGTATGCAAAAGGAAGGAGAGAAAATAAGTCTAAAGGGGTAATACGGAATCAAATTGTTCAGGGTTTCAAATATTAGGCATTAGGACTCTGTTCCTAATTCAGTGGTCTTCAGAAAAGAGCAGCATTGACATTTTGAGTAGAGTTGTGCCACTGAGAGGTGAGCTCTAGACTGACTAACCAGGAAGAGTAGTTTAGGAGGAATGATAGCACCACTTAAGCCACCGAAGGGATCTTCTAGTTGTGAGTTCCTCGGGGCTAAAAGTGGAGCTATAGCTACAGACATGGGGAAGAGATAGAAAAGATGAAAGTGCATAGACAAGTGATACTTCAGAGAGCACAGCATGGGATTTAGCATCTAGTAGAATACAGGAAGTTGGGGCAAAAGGATGCATTGCTATGATGTGGTGTTCTATTTGGATTTTGGATACTATTAGTGAACATGTGAGTATAGTTAACCCTTAAACAGCATGGGTTTGAACTGCATGGGTCCATTATACGCGGATTTTTTACAGTACAGTACTGTAAATGTACTTTCTCTTCCTTATGATTTTGTTTATAACATTTTTTCTCTAGCTTACTTCATTGTAAGAATACAGTATATAATACATATAACATACAAAATACATGTTCATTGAGTTTTGGTGTTATCAATAAGGCTTCCAGTCAACAGTAGGCTCTTAGTAGTTAAGCTTAGGGACTCAGAAGTTATACATGGACTTTTGACTGCATGGGAGATCCGCACACCTAATTCCCATGTCGTTCAAGGGTCAAGTGTACAGAGACTGGTGGGCTAGGAAGCAATCGACAAAAAGGTAAAGGATAAGCCCTTTCATCAGAAAAATCTGATGAAAGAAAAGAGGCTGAGGATAGAATTCCAGAGAGGAGTAAGAAGAGAATCATAAGAAGAAAGAGAGGAATTTCCTGAGAAAAACATGGATCGTAAGATATCCCAGAAGTCAATAGCAGATTGAAGCAGGTGGTCCTTCAGTTTGACAGTTAGGAAGTTCCTGGTGGTCACTGAGAGAACAACTGGTGTAGGCTGTTGTATTTGTAACTCCGATTGCAAAGAGTGATGTTAATGAAGAATAGCCATTAAGAAATTAAATATAGTCTATTTAGACTATCCCTGAAATAATTTTAGTAGTAAAGGAAAAGACAAAAAGAAGGTGGTAGCCTGAGGTCCAAAGCAAACTTCTCTTTCCTCCATTTGAGAGGTTTGACCTCTGATTCTCTGAGTGAAATAATTCAATTTGTAATTTTACTTGACCTACTCACACATTGACTGACCAAGTACACTCGAAAGGGCCGGGGAAATAGATGGGGTCATTAGCCTTGGCTCTAATGAGAAATTATAGTATTTTTCCTGTAATGATAAGTTGGCATGTGAATACTTAGCATATGAAAAAGCCCTCAGATAGTCAGCAGCTTCCACTGTTCATTATCTTATGTTTTGGGGTTATTTTCTTGGCAGAAAATATCATTTGGCTGTGAATCTATCATCATTAAGAAAGGAATAAAGATTTTTAACAGAATACATATTCTCCTTGTGGAAAAATTATAATTACTCCATTTTAACTTTCCACGTCCTGGCTCTAATTTCCTCGACACTCTTCTGTTCCTCTACAATAGAGGCTTTTTCTGCTGGTCAGTCTACACGGTTAAGCTCACAAGCAACTTTCTGCTTTATACAGATATAGAGCATTTAATTGAAAAAGGTATTCTGTGTCACCAGCCAACACTTTAGAAGGCCTGCAGTGGCTGAAACAGTTCGGCTGGCGAATTTCATAGTATGCTTTGTTTCTCAGCAGCATGTGTCCAAGTATCATTTAGAGAGCACTCGTATTCTCGCACAGAGACATACCTGAGCATCACTGCACACATCCAGTTCGTAGCGCTAGAACAATCACCCATTCGTGAGTTAAAAAAAAAGAAAACTATTTCTACTTCTACTTCTCAAAGCCAATTGGACACTGTTGTTGCATTGATCAGACCAGAAAGCTCTCCCTCTGGGTTTCAGGGTTCAGAAGACTTTTTTCTGTAAAGGGCCACATAGTAAATACTTTAGGCTTTGCAGGCTACATAGTCTCTTTTGCAACAACTCACCTCTACTGTTGTAGTGCAAAAGGAGCTGTAGACAATGACTAATTGTGTGATTTTATTCCAATAAAACTTTATTTGCAAAACAGGTAGCAAGCTAGATTTGCCCCCTGGCTGTAGTTTGCCAATCACCGCTCTAGAAAAAGACCTCAAGTGGGATGTGTCATTTAGCCATCCATAGAGACTCAAGATGGAGAACCCATATACATCATTGAAAAGATACTAGTTTCTCAGTTGATGCCAGGTCAGTTCTAGGATTTGAATCACAGACATTTGCATTCCATCTCAAGAATTCCTCCACGCCACATTTAACTCTCACCACCTGTGTTTTTCCTGCACCATGGCACATGACCTTCTCATTTCTCTGTCCTCCTCATAGCCCATGTTACTTAACAAACCTACTTAGGCTCATCCTATTGGCTTCTGACTTTTATCTCTCTAGGTTAGGACTGCTAGAATTTGCTCTTTGCTCCAAATACCATGACCATAGGAAAAACGTATTTAATTTTAGGGCCTCAAAGAACCAACTAGAAAAAGAAGTGTATACACTAAAATGGTGTATTTTCTTGCCCAGTCACCATATATTTTTTTCTTCTATTTATCTTCTCAGATACTGAAGGTGAAACTCCTGTACCACACTCCCAAAGTGTCTTCAACAGAGGTCTACGGCACACCACTCTGTTTTCCTTCTTAGCCTGAAATCTCAATCATTAAAGTCTCAACACAGCACAGGAGAAAAAAAACAGACTATGCACCAGGTACCTGTACTCTGGTTCTGACTTACTCTGGTCTTGGGTAAGTTACTAGCATGCATGTTAAAGCACGTTACCTTGGAGCAGTGGTCTCCCCGCTGTACTTCAAAGAATCTTTAGACCTGCTCAGATAATCATTTCCCACTACATGGTGAAAATATAAGTTGTTTGAGGAATATTTATTTTTGCTCTCTTGGACTATACTACTAAGAGTGTTAATGTGTATAGTTTTTCTGAAGAGTACCTGGGAGCTTCTAGGAATTTTCTCCCAGATTCACAATGAAAAGTACCTTGTGCTTATAGTTGCAGAGAGTCAAAGTCAACAAAAGTAGGCACTAAGAGAGTGGATAAGTAAAATGTGGTTGATACAATGAATGTCTATGCTCCAGTGGATTTATCTTGAATGAGGCTCCTAAGTATAATGTTGAATGAAAAAAGTAAGAAATCAAATAAAACTTTTAGCTAAGTACCATTTCTATAAAATACAAAAATATACATGGAAAATAAGACTTTGTGTTTTTGAAGGATACACATATATCTAAATAATCGTATATAAGAACCACCACCAAATACATTAACACAGGTAACTAATCTGGGAAAAGAAACAAGATCATGGGGGGAAATCATGAAATAAGTAAAAGATCTTGCACAGACCAATGATGGTAAGGTTCTATAAACTGTGGAATGTGATCTCTTCAGTACATTTAAATCTTTAAAAAATATGTGCTGTCACTTACAAAATTATATATGTATGTATGTTCTTGTGCATGAATGTACTTACATAGAGAGACAACACACATACATATATATATGACTGGGAGTATTTACTCCAAATATTGGAGTGACTTTTGTCTGGTCATTAAAAATGATTTTAATCTTCCTCTTCACACTTTTCCTTATTTTCTAAATCTTCCTCAATAAATATTCTATAATCAGAAAAAAATAAGAATCAATACATCTTTTGGGGCATTTGGGTGGCTCAGTCGGTTAAGTGTCCGACTCTTGACTTTGGCTCAGATCATGATCTCAGGGCCCACATTGGACATAGAACCTGCTTAAGATTCTCTCTCTCTCCCCCTCTGCCCCCCACCCCCTCTCTTTCTCCTTCTCTCTCTCTCAAAAAAAAAAAAAAAAGAATCAATACATATTTTAATTAACTGGATACATTCCTAAAGGGGAAGGCAATTTTAAGCAATTTATTCTATATGGTTTTTTAAAAATGGAGTCAGAGATTTCTTTTCTTTTCAAGAGCAATACCTATTACAATGGGAAAATCATTGAAAATTCAGGACCCTGTGTAATATCTCACTCAGAGTTTCAGGGTTACTGCTGATTGAAGTAATCATTTGCAAAATTCAGAGTTTCCACAGAGTGTTTATTTTGACAACACTCTAGGTATTGTTAGATCTCTGGGGTAGGGCTGTCTGTTAGTTAGCAATAGGAAGGGGAAAGCTTGTTTGGATTACCATGTAAACCATTTTCATTGTGAGGAGGGACCTATTGTTTTTTCAGCCACTTGCAGCAAAGACTCTGTTTAAAGGTGACTGATATAATGATTTCATTCATAATCTTAATATTTCAAAGTTGTGGATCATGTTTCCAACAAACTTACCCTTTCGTGCATGAAAATACATAACTCAGATTATAGCCATTTATTTGCCTTTCTTTTAAAATAAGAAATAACTATTTTGCTTAAATCTCAAAAGAACTAAAGGTTCATGTTTCTTAAAGAACTATCCTTCCAGGGAACTACCTTGTTGAGATCAAGTTTTTCTGAGTTAAACTAGAGTTAAAAAGTAAAGCAAACATACCCTTTAACCAAAAGATGAGTCATGTGCCTGGACGCCCCAGCCTGTCCTAGCAAAGGTAAATATCATTTCTTGAGACTCTGGGGCATGCGTAGAAGAAAAAAATATGAAATAAAGAGACTGAAAAAATGTACAAGGAGATGGAAAGGAAGAACCTGCAGCTGGAGGCAAACGAGAGCACCCTCTGAACTGTTGGGTAAGCTACTCCGAACTGCCTTACAGACGGATGGTTCCTGTGAGGCAAGTATATCAGAAGGTGACAGATCAGCATGAGGTGGACTTCTCTCTACAATAGAATTCTCTAAATGCTCACAAAGCCATCTTCAGTGGTTCGGTGGGATTACTGATTTTTAGAGTCCAAGAGAGCTACACAATCGCTTCTCTTCCATGATGGCACCCCGGCCGAAGATTCTTCCTATTTTGTTCCATGTTTCTATGAAAATTGTACGGTAATGGGTAAAATGCCCACATGTCATTGTAGATATTTCCAAAAAGCCTAGAGATGTTAAAAATTAATAAATAAGGAAACATTTGATATTATAGCAGGGTCATGGTAATAACAAAATTAGAGAAATAACTATTTGATTGAAAATTATCCTTTTAACATAAAATGATTTTTCCTCATAACAATCAAATGTTATAAAAGGAGACAATACCAATTAGTTCTTTTATTAGCATCTCCTCAAATAAGAAGCTTTGACATTACCATCTTAATTTATAGCATTTTCCAAATCGCCTCAGAATAGGTGGAGAAGAATAGCCAGAGAAGAAATCAGAATAATTTTATAAGGGTTCTGTTCTTGAGGTTTTTGCTGTTAGCTGGAATAAAGTCCATCTATGCTTTTCAAGCTCTTGGAAGTGGAAACAGATACTGTTTGCTGAAAACTGAGAACTGGTAATCTCTTGTAATTCAACTTCCCCCAATCATCTACATGCTGATTCAGCAAAATACTTTAAGAATTTGTTTTTTCTACAATTGAAGGAACTATTCTGGAAGAAAACGATCTCTTCAAAATCTAATAAGAAAAATAAATGAACAACAACAACAACACCCTCTCCTGTGTAGGCTTCCTTGTTGAAGCAGTTCTTATATGAGAAGATCCCAATTTGAGGGGCTGGAGGGTAGGGAGGTGGTTGGTCTAGTGGCTGGTTACCAGGGAAACTTCACATTGTTCAGGAGCCTCAGCTCCTGAACCAGCCCTGAAGCCAGTGAAATACCACCCGATCTGGAGTTTGGGTCTGATGTTAAAGACACACTATTCTGTCTGATTACAGGCTAAATTCTGTCTGGACACTCTTTGTCTCACTGTCCTATGGTTCTGTGCTGCTCAGGAAAACCAGGAAAGGTGAGTTACTTACCAGTGAACAAAAATCAGCAGGCAAGTGCAGCGGGATCTTTTAATTTTTATGATTCAAATAGACCAGGGCAGTAGCAGCTTATAGATAAGTAGCAGCTTATCTATGAGTTGCACAAAAAAAGCTTGGATAAAAAAACATGGGAAGAATCTTCAGTTTCTGTCTACCCTTCCCAGACAGTGATAATAGATTCTATTCTTTGTATCTCACTCAATGCCTAGCAGTACATAATGGATACTCAAATGTATGTCAATTCCATTTTAAATTGAAGGACATTCAGTCATATGTCAATGATTTTGGTTGCTTTGATTCTAGCATTTTTCTCTGAGTTTGTAGGGAAGTTCAAAAATTTTACTGATTTATTAAGAAGAAATGCTGTCAAGTTTGAGCATATTAGAGAAAAAATTTTTGTATCTGATCTCATATTCTTGGTTTGAATGAAGACTTTTTTTTTTTTGCTGAAGTATTTTTTTTTACCACAAATATGAAACATAAAATGACCACATTAAAATATAATCAGAAACGTACCCTCTGAAACATTTGAGGGAGCCATATTTCAGTAGGGCAATTTGGCAATACCTATTAGTATTTTAAATTTCATGTCATTTGACTAAGCCATCTACTGCTAGGAACACACCCACCGATCCCATGGATATACAACGAAAGTATACTAAGATACAATACAAAGATGTTTATTGCAGTGTGTGTGTATACTAAATGTTTAAATTAGGATAATAGTTAAATCCAATGTAATACATCCATATGGTACAAAACAATACAGGCATTAAAAGGATGAAGTAGATATGCATCTGTCGATACAGAAACATCTTCAAAGTGTATTATGCTGATTATGTGATTATGTGTGGGAAGAGGTTCTGGTTACAGGTAGAAGAGAATTCCAGCCTTATATTTTTCTTTCTGTTCTGTTTAAAATTTTCAAATATAGGCATGTGTTATTTTTACGTCTTTTGAATGTCAGCATAAATTTTCTGGTTGATTACATTATAAGTCATCTTAATTTTCTTCTTTGTGTATCTTGATACAGTTTAGAACTCAATAAACGTTATCAAAGAAATAAGAGGTGGACTAACTAAATTACAAGTGTTTTAAAAAGAAATCTGAATCTCAAAAGGTGTAGTTTTTTATTTCAATCAACTATTACAACAAAGCTGAGATAAAGCAGTTACGCTACAAACTATCAGTCTTGCTAAAACAATGGAAGACAATTAAACAGACAAGTTCATTTCTAAAGTCTATGAAATATCCTTAATTTGGCAGAAATTTTAAGAATAGTATTACAAAAGTGGCTGTAATTATGGACTCAAATTATGATACTCATATTTCATGAAAATCCATTTCTAAACTATTTCCTAGACTCAATTCAAATTTATTCATTATATGTTATGCTTGCTCTCATTCTTCTAAATGCTGAAATGAATAAAACAGACAAAAGAGATCAAGCACCACCATGTTTACATTCTAATAAAGAAGGAAAGAGGGAAGAGGAGATACTTATGTAAACTTAAGTAATAATTTATATATCAAGAGGGGATGTATAACAAAGAAAAATAAAGCAGTGAAGGAGCATAGGAAACACTGGTGGGAAACTGCAATTTCAAATAAAATGGTCAGAGATCTGATTTTAATTGTAAGATGAAAAGTAACTAAAGCCATATTTCTAAATCGTTTTCAATGTGAATAGCCTTATTTAATACCAAAACATATTTTTGGCTTTCACATGATCCTTGCCTCAATTGAGGAGCCCCTAATTTTGAAAAATGCGTGAGCAAAAGCTACAATTAAATTTGTAACACTCTTAAATGTTATTACTAACTTGTAAAACTAATTTTTATTGAGTGATGATTCCATGCCAAGGATTGTTCTAAGCACTTTGCATGAATTTTCTTACTGAATCCTAACAAAAGTCTTACGAAGAGGGTAGAGTGTAATTGCTGTTTTATAGATAATGAAACTGAGGCACAGAAATTAAGTGAATGGCAGGCCTTCTGGGTGGCTCGGTCAGTTAAGTGTCCAACTCTTGGTTTCAGCTCAGGTCATGATCTCAGGGTTGTGGGATCCAGCCCCGTGTCTGCTTGTCCCTCTCCCTCAGCCCCTCCCGCCACTCTAAAATAAGTAAATAAATCTTAAAAAAAAAAAAAATTAAGTGAATGGCACTTTATCTCTTTAAATGAAAGCTACTATATTTATTACAGCATCATTTTCTGTATATATTTAATCATGTTGCATGTTTTGTTAGAGATATAAAGATCAAAATAGCAACACTGTGGGCAGAGGTTGTTTTGCAAATTCCTTTCAACAACTCACAGATCCTCAAGGCTCCACAGCACACAGAGGGGAGTCACTGGTCAAAGTTTTCTCTGGCATTCAGCTACATCTGGATAAGCGCTCTTGTGGCCTGGGTGGTAGAGTTCAAAGCATCTAGATACTCCAGCAACACAATCATTAGTGTGATCAGAAATTCAATGAAGGGATGCACCTCATCCAAGAATGAGGAGTCCTGGGCACTTAGTTGTCATGCAGTCTCAACATTACTGCCCCTCCTTAAGCCCCAGTTTCCTCATCCATAAAATGAGGGGGTTTAACTTGGAGACTTCAAAGATTCATTTCAGCTCTAACTTCTATGACTCCATAGGTGGAGATAGTTGGGCATTGAACTCTCTCTTTAGCAGGCTTCTAGGATACCAGGAAACTAAATAGAGCTTCCAGAAAAATGCTCGAAATTCCTTCCCCAGTCCCTGAAAACTATGAAAAAATGCCATGTAATTGAATGTATTGCCCACACAAAATGAGCAGTTGTTTTGAAAAGTGTAAGATTAGGGTGCCTGGGTGTATCAGTCAGTTGAGCATCCAACTCTAGATTTTGGCTCAGGTCATGATCTCAGGTCATGAGGTCAAGCCTCACATGGAGCCTCACGTGGAGCCTGGTGATGGGCTCCACGTCAGCATGGAGTCTGCTTGTCCCTCTCCTTCCCTCTGTGCTCCTCACCCCACTTGCATGCTCTCTCTCTCTCTCAAATAAATAAATCTTTTTTTAAAAAAAGAAAAGTATGAGATTATTTAAGAATTTCCATTTTGGAATGAAATATTCTACAAATGTATACGATAGTACTTTGTCGTATAGCCTATCACCAACAGTTGGGAGAAACGTACTAGAACTGGAAGTTGTAACTCTAGGAATATCCACTCTAAAAATATTTAAAAGTAGGATTTGTAGTCATGAGGATGTAAATTTATAGGTGGTAACTAGCCTTAAGGAAGGCAGGGAGATGCAAATGATTCCTAACATCATATCTGATTTTGTAACTGAGAATGACTTGTAAAGTTTTACTCCCAACAAGCATTTGATGTGTATAACATTCCTCTTCAGGGCTTAGAGGCTTTCAAGGCATGGCCAGACACTCCATCTTGTATTTCATCCTCCTGAGTGCTCTGATTGACAAGTGCCAACCCTGTTTCTGTGATCATTACCCATGGGGTCAGTGGTCTACCTGCTCAAAAAGCTGCAATTCTGGAACTCAGAGCAGACAGAGGTGGGTGTGAGCTATGTAGCTTGTCTTTGTGCCATGGGAAGCCTCACAGACTTAGCAATATAAAAAATGCCACACTAAGCAATGAGGTGCGAGGGGAAATATATGTGTGTGTGTGTGTGTGTGTGTGTGTGTATCTCAAAGTAAGAAATCATAGAATTTGATTTGGTTGTAATTTGCAGTCTTTTCCACGTAAGGTTGAAATGAAGTCTACATTTGTTCTCTCCATAAAATCAAGGAGTGTCAAAGAAATTTAAATAAGAATATGTGCAATATCTTCTGTTGACTATTTAACTTACTAAGAAATCACTTCTCAAGCCTTTTTTCAATCAGTGTGTAACTCTGCTTGCCTACAGTTAGTGAGTTAATTATAGAGAATTTTCTACTCATTAAACTGAGTCTAACAGGACCTCAATTGAGCAGCACTATTAGCTATTAGCTTGATCGTTGGCAAGTACGAGAAGGCAAGAAAACTGTGTTTACTTGATAACATTTAATAATTCAGTCTTCTCACCGATTCAGACTACCTATCCCCCACAGTTTCTTTAAATCTGTTAGATGTTTCTGTTCCATGGAGATGCTCACATAACTTGGGAAGAAAGGCATATATTTAATGTGTTTTAATTATTATAGTTTTTTAGAGACCTATGTTAGAAAACGATTTTTACATGCGCAGTGTGAGTCTCATTAAAATCACCAACTGACTTCCTCAATAAACCATCCACCAAGGATGTTAAAGCTTTTCAGACTCCTTCACTCAAGAGTCCCTCCGTAGCTCTCCACTGCCTACCAAATAAAGCACAACAATCCATACGGTCCCTCTCAGTCAGCACTGCCCAAGCCCATCCCACAAGCTCCACCAGGGACATGTCATGCTCCTCCGCCTCTAATCTTGGCATATGCCTTTCCTTCCACATGCCCTTCCCTTTGATGCCTGGGGGAGTCACATCAATTTTTCAAGATGTATCTATTATTTTCCCTTTGAATCTTTGGCCCCACAGCACTCTGACTCTGTGTCAATCATGATACTTATCAAATTATGTTGTCATATTTTAAGGAATTTGCAGGAACTTTCTTTTTTCTTCTCTTTTCCATCTAGTCCCCTCCAGGAATTCCCTGAGGGCCAGCTTCATGGATGTGTGACCTACACAGTCACACAGGACCACACTGAGAAGGATTCCATGCTTGCTTGGCTTAATGCTCTGCCATTAGTGTCTTAAAATTCTTAATAATTTTTTAATAAGGGGCCCCTCGTTTCCATTTTGCCCTGGGCCCCACAAATTATGAATCCAGTCCCGACTTCCATTAAGTGGTAAGAACTGCACAGATGCCAACGTCCTGATTTTCCATGAAAATCTTTCCTTTTATTCATTGTGATTCATGTTCAATGATATTTTTCTTATGGGGCTGGAACCACAGTGAATATATTCATTCTAAACAGCTTTCTCCTCACTATTACAGAAAAATAGTGGTTAATCAGTACTATCTGAATAACTTTTGTGACCAGCTTTGCAACAAGCCGGAGACCAGGGAATGTAACTGGCAACGCTGTCCTATCAACTGCCTCCTGGGAGATTATGGACCATGGTCAGACTGTGACCCTTGTGTTGAAAAACAGGTAGGTGACCCATGGGCATCTTCAGGAAATCTGGATCACAATGAAAGACTTGGCTAACTTAGCAGAAATGCTCAATTTCTGAAAATAAACCATCCCAGCTTCCACTGAGGGAAAATTCCATTTAGCAATTTTTTTTTTTTGCGAGGGCAGGGGGAGGAGGACTCATTTACATGTTTTACTATCATATGAGCACCAAAAGGAACTTCTGCCCTAATACTGACATTGTACTTACTGAGCTCCAAATTCCATTGCCTCTGAGAGCTCAGAAAGTTCCCTTTGAGAGCTCAGAAAGTAAAAACAGATGCTAGAAAATGGGGATTTCAGTCCAACGTTTAAAATCAGACAGAAAGGAGGGACGTTAATCAAAAGACTGACTCTTGGCCCTACCTCTAATTTCCCTCTCCCCACAGGAAAGTCCCTCGATTTGTTTATTGTTCCAAGCTGTAGTATTTACCCACTTTAGCTCATTCCTGTAAGGGCATTGGCCCACATAAACCCCAGTTACAGCAGTGCTGAGCATTCACACACTAGGGGGAAAAAAAGGAACTTATTTATGGAGCATCCACTCTCTGAGGAAAACTGCTCTAGCCCCTTTACTTACATCATCTTACTCAAACTTCACATCAGAGTGTGTTTTCCTACCCTGTTTACAGATGAGGAAGTTATAGCTTACTGGGGAGTAAGTAATTTTCCCAAGAATATACCTCTGATGAATAGAGGTGCTATATTTTTAACTTGGATTTTTCTGACTTCAAAGTCAGCACTTTTTGATCCTGTCCTATTCCTATCCTTCCCTGACTCCCTGTTTTACTATTCACAATTTAAAATCCTTTAAAATGTGGAGAATGTGTCTACCTTGGTTTCCATGCTGACTTCCTCATGCGGAAGAACCCCCAAATCCTTTCAAATTGACCGCACTACCTTTGAGATATGAAAGTGCTGTTGTGGGGCACCTGGGTGGTGCATTTAAGTCTCTGACTCTTGGTTTCAGCTCAGGTCACGATCTCAGGGTCGTGGGCTCCAGCCCCACGTCAGGCTCTGCACTCACAGTGTCTGCTTGAAATTCTCTCTCCCTCTCCCTCTGCTCTTTACGCTTGTGCTCTCTCTCTTTCTCTCTCTCTAAAATAAATAAATAAATCTTTAAAAGTGCTATTGTTACTACCTGGAAGATATACTGCATCAAGATACTCAGTAAATATTTGTGCATTTGATTTATTTTCATATGGTTTTAGAATTGGAAGTTTTAGAAATCCATTGTCCTGCTTTTTCATTTTATAGTTTGGAAAACTGAGGACCAGAGAGGTGCTGACTTCTCTAAGGGCACATAGTAATGGAATTGGAAAACTCATTAGTTAATTTAGGAAACATCACTGGAGGAAGAATCACTGCGGTGATTAAGAAGCCCAGTTTTCTTAGATACATTTTGGCTTTGACCCTGCCTTCAAGTTCCTCACCTTTCTCTCCTTTCCTTTCAGTTTAAGGTTAGATCCATCTTGCGCCCCAGTCAGTTTGGAGGACAACCATGTACTGAGCCCCTGGTGACCTTTCAACCATGCATTCCATCTAAGCTCTGCAAAATTGAAGAGGTTGACTGCAAGAATAAGTTCCGCTGTGACAGTGGTAATGTACACTAGAAGATGTTCAGTCTCCACTAAAAATGACTTGACTAAATAAAGTCATTCCAGTTGACTACTAGTAAAAGCCATGACAGAGAATTCCCACCATGTGTTAAGTATGGGGAGACAGGGGTGTTATGGTACCAACTGTCAAGCCATTCATGTATGAAATTATAGCTTTGAAGCTATGATCATCTTGACCATGTACCTGATCCATTTACTCTTCAAGTACTGGTGCCCAGGTCCTTACACTGTGATAAAGAAGGATGAAGACAAAGCAGGAGGAAAAGGAAGACAAGGCAGATACTCATAAGCATTGGCTATTAATAAGTACAAATCTACAATCAGAACCAGCAGCTGAAAGGGAGTGACAGATTTAAAAGATCTTCAGTGTAGTTTATTAAGATAAGTATATTAAGATTAAGATATTATGTCAGGGAGATGACTAGAGATAATGTGACAGATTTTCTTGGGTGGTCCGTTGAATGGTTCCAAAGGTAATTCCAAAGGGAAGACTGTAAATGCTTTAAACAGTAGCAACGCTCCCTTCAAGTCCATTACTCATTCAGATATTTAAGTTTCATTAGATTAAGAATGAATATACTTGAATATACTACTTAGTTGTATGTATGCTCTTGCTAATTAATAGCTCTTCAACACCACCATTTTGAACTCTCTAAATCTGATTTCTGCACACTTTTTCAGTAAAGGTCCAGACAGTAAATATTTTAGGCTTTTTGGCCATATGTTCTTTGTTGCAACTACTCAACTTTGGCTCTACAGCATCACAGCTGCCATACGTGGTATATCAAGAAGGGGGCATGGCTGTGTTCCAACCAAATTTTACTTATGAAGACAGGCAGCAGGTGAGTTTGGACCCTGCTTCCTGCCTTCAGCCACAGTTCACTGACCTCTTCTCTAAATAGTCAACTTGATGTTAAAATTGGAATTTCAGATGAATAAAATCCATATCATTTTTGTGTACTCTGGAATACAATGAAAAGTAGAGTATTTATAGCTAAATAGTAGATCTCAAATTCCATAGAAAATTGACCCCAGACTTTAGATCTAATGTTTCTCTCCTCTTGGTCCTTGCTTCCTGTCTTCAGCTTTGCTGACCTTTTCTGAAAGTTGGACAGGAATGCTGGTGTCAGGATTTTCCCTTGGTGGCCCCCACACCTGCAATATGGTGGCATATGGGTAGGGAGATATACTTCATGGCTACATGCATAAGGTCATATCACAAGCTGACAAAAGAGAGAATATGAAAACAATCTTGCTGGCAATGGCTGAGTAGAATACAGATGTAGGCATTAAATCCAGAATATTAAGATAAAGGTTTAGAATTGAGGGGCAACTATTTGAAGCTTGAAGAACAGTTTTGGAACCAATTACCAGAAAGAACTCCTTTATACAATGGATGTTAAATCTGTGAAATTTACTACAGAAGAGTTTTCTTTGGCCAAAAATATTCACAAGTTTGAGAAGGCTTTAGATACATCCATGGCCCACTGATCCATAATGAGAGATTTCAGGAAAGCTAGTGTGTAAGGACAGGTGATCTCTAGTTCATCAGCAATATATCCACAGCAAGTGAAAAAAAAAAAACAACCTGACTATTGACCAGATCCCTTCACCAGGAATCCCTAGATCTTCCCATGATCCAGGCACTAAGTGGCCGATCCCTGGCACAGATGTGGTCGGTATCCATTTTGATCAGGTGGTGCCATGGCCTACCGATTGTTAAATATTATTGTTAAATACTGAAGATTATATACTACTTTGCTCTTTTTTTTTTTTTTTTAAGTTTTTATTTATTCATTTGAGAGAGAATGAGATAGAGAGAGCATGAGAGGGGGAGGGTCAGAGGGAGAAGCAGACTCCCCGCCAAGCAGGGAGCCCGATGCGGGACTCGATCCTGGGACTCCAGGATCATGACCTGAGCCGAAGGCAGTCGCTTAACCAACTGAGCCACCCAGGCGCCCCTACTACTTTGCTCTTCTAAAATCACCCATTAATGCCACTCTCAAAAGGAATTAAAGGTTGGATGGACCATTATTTGACTCAGTAGGATGTTTGGCCCTCAATTAACAAAGAACCATTTATCCTAAAGAGTTTCCCCCTTCCCTTTCCTCCTTCATGATTGCTGTTCTAGTTCCCCCAAAACTAAATATATGATTTTAATGCATACATGGATCTTTGAGAATTATCCATAAGGCTAATAATCCCCACATGCACTATGCCAATTCCTCTCTCAAAGTTCTAGTTTTAAGCATAAAGACTAGAGAATTTGTGGCTCGTTATACATATACTAAACTATTGCAGTAACACAAATCAGCTCAAGTAAATAGGAAAAACATGTACAATTTCTAAATGATACATAGCTCCAGATATACATATATAGATGCATGCATTGGCTAAAGCATGCTGACTTCTGTAAATCCTCCACTATCCAAGCTGCCCTTCACCTTTCCTGTTCCTTCTTTGGTATGGGATATATTTATAGCTTGCAACATCTCTCCCCTTGTGTTTCCTATTCCGTTGAGTTTCTGTGGCCTGGAACCATTCTCAGCTGTGTCCTATCGGACCTATATCACTCCTGCCACACATTCCTAAACATCACTCAGAAGATGTCCTCTTGCTTTCATCCCTCCCTTTGCTAATAGGTCCTCTTCAATATCCCCAGAAGTACTAAATGCATAGAATTTCTTATATTCAAACGTATCTGGTACCTTGCTCACAAAGCTAGGCTAATGAGAACTATACCCTGCACATATGTCCCTACCTCTGCCTAATAAAATGAGATTTCCTTTTTTTTTTTTAGTGTAACTGTATCAAAACTTATATTTGCTCCAATTTATAAGTGCGAGTTTCAAAACTTTTTAAAAATGTAATATTTGTTCTTTTTTTCCAATGGAAAAAGCATCTGTATTTCAAACTAAATTACACATTCTTTTCTGCCCTGAAAAAAGCAAACAAAACACTAGAGATGTGCTATTTTAAAAACAGAGCATCTTTCAGGTTATATCTTTGGACTCACAGACATCCAATTCCCTCAATATATTCAATCTTGTTTGATTATGGTGCTCATAACTGTAATTCTTTATAATCATGGTCCAGATACAATACAACATTTTGAATAATCAAAGAAGGAGCCTTAATTACTTTCATTTTTCTCTACCTTCTTATTGAAGATTATTTACCAAAAGAGTTGAAACTAACTGCTTTCTGGGAAACTTTCTATTAATTAAAAAAATGTAATTCAACAGAATACCCAATATCCCCAAGCATTTCAGTTAGTCAAAATAGTTCTGCATAGCTGCAGTGAGATGCTGACCACAACTTAAAGTACTTAACCAGATAATCTTGAGTAAAACATTTAACTCAATCTCCTTGTCAGTGAGACCTGTACATCATTGTACAGATGCCAGCATCTCTGATTACAGACGAGAGGCTGGGGGACAGAAGAGGGGCTGTCATTGTACGTAAGTCATCTCGATTTCTGTAATATATCGATTTCCATTGATTCTAAGGATCCTTATGAAATTCAGCAAATTTAAAAAGGAAGGGAATTATCCAAGTAACGGGTTGGCACTATTTTGTAAATTCACTCACTTAACCTGCTACCTAACACTAGTACCTAGTGGTTAAAAAAAAAATTGTCTTTTTAACTTGTTCAAAAAACAACTAGATATAATAAATTTTATGTTCTTAAACGTAAGATAAAAAAAAAATCACATAGCATTACTCTTAGGTGTCTGGCTCCTTTTACTTAACCGAAAATTTTAGAGATACAATGACAGAATCATCTGTACGTGTGTGTGTGTGTGTATGTATGTGGATATTCAATTATAGGGTTTTTAAAAAAAATAAAAACAGTGACCTTGAGTTTGTTGTTCTGAATCAAAACAAAAGTCTGAACCTACTGTTGATTTTCTCCTACAGAACATGATTTCTACAGCAAGCTCACTGGAATGGGAATGGGATTCTAGAATTACCTCTCTTATTTAAGACAATCAGCCCAATGGTGACTAAATAATTCTACAATGATTCTTGTAATCCTACAAAAATAAGGGGAAAATATCAGTTTGGCATCCATTTCCGTATTTCCTAAATCTGTATCAAAAATAATGAAAACTTTGGGCGCCTGGGTGGCTCAGACGGTTAAGCGTCTGCCTTCGGCTCAGGTCATGATCCCAGGGTCCTGGGATCGAGTCCCGCATCGGGCTCCCTGCTAGGCGGGGAGCCTGCTTCT